CTCTTGATTTTGGGGTTGTGAGTTCGAGCCCCATGTTGGGTGGAGAGATTACTTAAAAAAATATTTTTCATTAGAGGAGTTCTAAGCCTGGGTATTTGCATATAATGTCCCCAAGTCACCTCCTCTTCCAAGCCTTAACCCATCCTGAGCCACAGAACAAGTTAGGAAGGAACCATAGGGGCGCCTGGGTGGCTCAGTTGGTTAAGCGACTGCCTTCGGCTCAGGTCATGATCCTGGAGTCCCGGGATCGAGTCCCGCATCGGGCTCCCTGCTCGGCAGGGAGTCTGCTTCTCCCTCTGACCCTCCTCCCTCTCATGCTCTCTGCCTCTCATTCTCTCTCTCGCAAATAAATAAAATCTTTAAAAAAAAAAAAAGAATATTTGAATCAGCAGTTACTGCTTCCCAAGGTGGAGCCGTTCTACCTACGAGGAGGCGAAAGGAAATAGGCTCGTTTAAATTGGTAGCACAATTGCTAAAGAAGGATGTGCAAACCTAATGAAAGAGTTAATATCTAAATATCTTAAAAAAAAAAAAAAACGTGTGGGGACTATTTTTCAAACACAGGGGCACAGAACTCCTTTTCCAAGTAGCTGTGAATATCAACCCATGGACTGGGCGGAGTCAGGGATGGGGAGCTCTAAGAAGGGCCGCAAGAAGAGAAGGCAGAGGGCTTTGTGAAAGAAGAGTCCAAGGAAGTGAGCAGGGAAGACACTGCCGGCTGCCTGTTCTAGGCAGAAGTCAGGACAAATCTGTGCCTAGTGAGAGTGGATTCACTACCCTCTCCCCTCAGAGAGCGGGAGGTCCAACCTCCCTGGAACCTTGCCTCTGAGCACAATCACGGTGGCCCCAGAAGCAGTCGTTCTTCCTGGGTCTGGACGGATGGGGAGAAAAGTCTTCAGGTGTCTGGACTGAACTTTACCCCCAACAGTTCACACCCAGTGGTTAAGGCAAAGCTAGAGGAGTCTGAGGTCTGAAGGACAGACAGCTGCTTTGTGAGTGAGGGCTTCAGGAGAAAGCTCAAGTTCCTTCTGACAATACTCACCAGGAAGAATACTGCCCCCAATCCATTAAGGGCTTTCTATTGAAAGTTATGGATAAAACTAATGGATAACGGGATTTCTTTCGTAACTGGGAAATAAAGACCTTTCTCTGGTGAGACCCCGGACAGATGCCACCTTTGGAAATAAAATGGCATTTCTTTATCAGGAGAGGTGGCAGGGTGAAGTGGGTAAGAGGAGGGATTCTGAAACCTCACTACCTGAACTCGAACATCAGCTCTGTCCCTTACTGTGTCATACTGGGCAAAGTCACCTCCCAGGACCTCCTCTGTAAAATGGGGATGATAATCTATTGCCTGCCTCCAAGAGTCATGTGGATTAAAGAAGTCAATACTTGTAAAGTGCCTAGAATGGTGTGCGGATGAAGCAAGTCTATATAAGCATTTGCTCTGCATATTTATCAGCAACAGTACTGGTACAGACTGAATAAGGGGAACATTCCAGGTGGGGGGTGCTGAGTGTCCTGGAATCCCTCCATGATTCAGAGCACAGATGGGTTTTGAAGTCAGAGAGACTGAGGATCAAGTCCTGGTCTTGATTCTGACTTGCTGTGTGACTTAATCAAGTTATTTCGAGTCTCTGAACCTATTTCCTCTTCAGTAGAGTGGAGATTAGAGTACCTACTTCACAAAGTAATCAGAAGAATTAAATGAATGAACTGAGTGAAGCACTTAGCACTGTGTCCAGCACATAGTCAGCATGCAATAAATCCTCATTGTTTACTCATGTTTCACCCATCTATGATCACAGGGTCCCCTAGGGGCTGAAATCTGGTTTCTGAAACCTCAGTGACCTTTAGACAGAAATCTATCCACCTTCAAAATGGAGGATGGCAGAGAGGATGGGGAAAACCATCTCCTATCACTTCCTATAAGTTGATTGGGGACATTTTCCATTCACTATTGTTCATATCTACACACAAATGTGCACAGCTGTAACTCCTTAGATCTGTTACCTGAGAGAGGAGAGAGAATCACTGGACAGTTCTCTCCTAACAAGGAGAGAATTTTGAGAATTTCCTCAAAGCAAATTCACATTGTTCACTGCTTATTTAATATCAGTATATGTACTATTACCTTTATTTCATGCTGGGAAGGAAGACTAAATTCAAGATTGGAGAGACAGAAGCTTTGGAAGGGCAGCGGGTAAGAGGCTGGGCAGGCTGCCCCAGGGGGTCAAGTACGACAAGGCAAACGAAAAAAATACAAGCAAGTCTTTCCCAGGAGGTCCCAATTTTAGACAGAAGGGAATGGAGCCAGGGACCAAAGAAGCACCACTGAGTAACTAAAACCCAAATGTTAAGCCATTAAGTGATTAAAATTTAGTCTTATTTCCTATGCTTTTTCAAACACTGCATTCATAAAAGCAGTTCAATACCCTTTCAAACTTTTTTTCATGAATAAGAAAGAAGGAAATGACATAACTGCAGTAATGTCAATGCGTAGAACCAATTTTAAAACATCCCTACACCTGCTCATTCATCATTACTGCAGGGCAAGTACCTGACCTTTGAAAAGTGATTAGAAATATTATGAATTGAGGGTGAGTGGAATTTCAAAGACAGTACAAACTTCAAGGGAGCAAACTCTTTCCCTACAGGAGTCACAAATTCTTGCTTAGATGTTATTGCTTAGAAATTTTCTCTAACAGAAGAAAATGTTATTTTTGTGACATAAATATAAAAATTGAGAAGCAAAAAAAAGTTCCAATTATGTAGAAAGAAGAAAGGGATAAGCAAGTATTTCCAAAAGACGAACCTGACAAAATTGCTTTATGTAGTGGACAATCAGAAGCTGGATTAGAAATGTGAGAATTTTACCTATAAAATGCAATCCAAGTGACTTTTCCTACTTAGTGGCAACCACAAATCCAGCCCTAGGGCAAAATCCACCACAGAGACTCAGTTTCAGAACTGCTGTTAAACCAGTGGCTGTGATCACTTTATACCCACCCCCTCTTTCTAGGCTGCTCAGCCCCTCTGACGGCCCCTTCCTAGTGTGGCTCGAGGCTTGGGAGAGAGGAGAGTAAGAAATGTATGTACCTGTGTCCCTTTTGAACTAGACTCCAATGCCTCCCAGACCCCAACCCCCAAGGAGATATCCCAGCACATCTAAACAACACCCACTCCAATGTCAAGGTCTTCCTTTCTACCTGGGGTAAGGCTCCAATCAGGACTAAAGAGGGAGGAGTGGGCCAAAGTCATACCATGGGGAACCATCCCAACTACACCCCCAGTGGCTACTCCAGTAACAGCAATGGCACTCTGGCAATGGCAGGAAGAGTTCCTCAAGAGTGGCAATGGTCCTGCCACCAGTCTTGCTGGGTGGGAGTGGGAGTGTTCACAACAGAGAATGGTTGTGGGTTCTGCACCCATTCCAGTGATGGGACCCACCAAGGGGAAGCCCAGAGGCTGTGGGCTTGGGACAGGACACTGGGACTGAGGTGCCAAAGAACAGAACTGGATTCTAGCTAGTGACAAAAGAAAGATGAGGAGGTGTGGTCATTCTACCTCTCTCTCTCTGCAACCTTCATGCATTTCTTTGTTCCTTCTCGCTCAAAGAAAGAAAGGAAGGAAAGGGAAGGGAAGGGGAGGGAAGGGGAGGGAAGGGAAGGGAAGGAGAGTGATCTCGAATCCAAGATCCAATTAGATATGCCGGATCTTCTCATCAAAAGGAAAGGCTTCCGAAATCCGTGTGCCTCAGGCATACAGAACTCGAAGGAGCTCGACCCTGTACTTCCCCCGGATAGGAGAATCAGACCAGTCCCAGGCTCAATTTCATAAGCACACCGAGACTTTGGGATGCGCCCTCGCCGGCTGGGGAGGGAAGACTCCCTCCCCTCCTCCACCTGTGGGACTGGAGGTCCCCCAGGCGCGGCCATTGCCCCCACCCAATCTTCCAGGGCAGGCGCTTTTCCTTCCTTCATTACCTCACTACCTCCTTCCCTTGACGTCAGCCCCGGGTCCTCGAGCGGAGGGGGGAGGATGGAGATGAGTTTGGGGGCAGTCGGTATCAGGATCCCCGCAGCACCGGGGTGGGGGTTAGGGGCGGAATATGAGGTAATGCTCGCCCAATCCCCCGCCTCAAAGGCCGAGAGCCGCCACTTCCCTCCCCCCGCCCCACCTTCCAGCCCCGCGCGCGCCGGTGTGTGCACCAGTTACTAGGCAACCCTATCGGAGAAGCGGGATGCCGGCCAAGTTCACCCAAAGTTGAAGAATAAATTTGGGGGAGAGAAGGCTGAGGGTGGAGCGAGAGCCGGGAGAACACACAAGGGACAGGAAAAAAAGCTTGGAAGGAAAAGAAGCTGGTCTTCTGCTCCCTGGAACGGGAAGGAGGGCCGGCGCGGGCTGGAGCAGTGTCCCCGGGGGCCACCGCTGCGACCCGACCGCCGTCCGGCCGGCAGTCCGGGTCGGGTCCCGCGCGGGGCCCGGCGCTGGGAGCCACGCCCACCGAGCCCGCCGCAGCCACAGACTCTGGAGCACCCGCGAGGGGAGCAGGCTGTGGTCCGAGCGTACGCGCCCTCGAATTACTCCCAGAGAAGGCCGGCCGGTGCGGCCAGTGGGCGAGGAGGGGTCTGAGAAGCGAGAAGAACGGAGTGGGAGTGCACTCCGTGTTTAATCTTTGGTCCCGAGGAAGCTGAGGGCTCCTTTAGGAGCCCTTACAAAAATAACTTCTCGAAGCGCCACTCTTCTTTAGCTCAAACAGTAACCGCCCTCGTTTATATTCAAAACAAGAGCGCCAGGAGACGAGGAAATCTGCTTCTTTCAAATCAGAGCCAGGAGATCTGCTTAAATTTGCTTTAAGTAGCTAAAAGCGTCCTTTGCCTCCGGACCCTACATGCCCGCGGTCCGCGCTGCCCGCGTCGGACGTTCCGGCTCCCGCCGGTTCGCGCGCCCCCTCCGGGGTCCCGGGAACCCAGACACCGTTCTGAGCGCCTTCCTACCTGCTGTAGGGCGTCCTCAGCAGCAGGGCCTGGCTGCCTGTGCAGCTATCGGTAGGGGTGTGGCAGCCATAGACTGGGGGCGGCACAGAGTACTGCTGCTCGCCTGCGGAGAGCCGAGGAGAGCCGAGTGAGCACGCCCCAAAGGCTGGGGGGCTGGGGGGGAGGGTGCGAGGACGCGGGCAGGGTCTGGGACAGAGAGCATTCCCCAGCCAGGCTCGGAGGCTAAGCTGGGGGCAATGGGCCTGGATGCCGGGCCGGGCCGAGAGAAAGCGTCCAGATCGTGAGGAGCTAATCTGCTTCTCACTTCACATTCCCTTAGCAGTCACTTCCTAGTACACCGAAGAGACCTTCGAGACGTTCGTAGACTCGCTTGAGTAGAGCTGTCCCCAACATACTTGGGGTGGGGGCTAAACTCAATCTTTTCTTTTAAATTGGGTGAGACTGGGCTGATTATTTCTAACAACCCCTTCTCTCACAATTTGCGGTGGGTTGGAAATTCCGGGGACGGGGGGTTTGGCACGGAAGAAGGGGAGAAGGACCCCACATCATTCCCTCCTGCTTACCCAGAGAGCCCTGCTGGCCCATGGGGTCCTCGTGCTTGAAAGAGTGGTTGGGGAACTGCGCCGCGTGGTGCGAGGGCGTGTGACCGTAGCTGGGCGTCCCGTCGAAGGTGACTGTACTGTATCCTGCGAGCGCGGCGGAGAGAGAAGCACAACGTCAGCGGGGGGAGCCGGGTCGGTGCGTCTACCAAACCAGAACCCGGAGCGAGGAGCACGCGGCCTCCCCACCCCCGAACTCGAAACCCCAGCGGAGGATTATGCCACCCCACCGGCCTCCAGAACTTTCGGCTGGAAGCCGGGCCCAAGCCCAAAGGTGTGACCTCGGGGCGGGCGCGCCGCCCTTTCCCAAGGAAAACCCTGACCTCCCCGCCGGTTCCCGATTCATGTCCGCCCCTCGTCTCCCACGGTGTTTGCCGCTCCTGAACCGAACCTCAGGCAAGTGAAGTATGAAGACCGCCAACCGCTCGCCAGAGAAAGTTCTTCATCTCCGAAGAGAAACACCGTGGCTCTTGCTCAGGGGCAGCGCGGGCGAGCGAAATGAATCTGTTCCGCTGACCCCGCGCTGACTCGGAGCCGTAAATCAGGGCACCGCGCACCAACTTTCATTAATTACTTGGAGCCCGTTAACCAGCATGGGCCTTAGATGGGGAGAGTAGTTACTGAGTAATGTTATCTGAGGCTGCGCGACCCTACACGACGACACCCAAGGCCCTCAGGAAAGCTGGTGAAGGTTAAAAGAAGGGGCCCTTTCAGTTGAGCCCGCCGGCATCGGACCGATGCCCTCCTCCTTACCCTCTCGGACCCAACTCGCATCCAGTGCGTCCTTACTCTGACCCCCACCGTGGGGTTCCTCGCGCCCCAGGTGGGGGAGCGTGCCTGTTTTAGGGTGTACCTGACTCCGTAGCTCCCTTTCCCTCCATGGCAGTGCACGGGTCCCCTGCCAGTTTCCCTACCAAGAACCCAAGGGCGAGACGGACCGGTTCTTCCCCAAGACACCCAACAGAATGTGGTGTCTTGATTGAAAACCGTGGTCTCCTTCTGTGATTATTGTTATTAAATTGCTTTAAACATATACCCCACCAGCTTCTGGAAAACTGTTGCCACCTCTGGGGAAAAAGTATCCTCCAGCTACGATGAAGGTCAGTCCCGGGGCCCTCAAAGCAATGGTGGGATTCCCTCCTTTTATGCGCAGGCCCCAGCGTCTCTGGCCTGAGGTCCAGGCCAGGAGGCGAATGAGATCGGCTCGGGCGCTCACAAAGGCTTCCCGCAGGGCCACGGTGCCGACCCATCCCCCGCTCATTCCCCCAGCTCCCCGCCTAGCCATTGCGCTGGATCTCCAAACTCCACTCAGTTTTTGGGAGTGGGATGTGTCAAACACCCAGGCATGACAGAGACTCTGCAACAGGTGTCTGCAAAGACTTAGGATGTACAGAGGAAGGAGACCATTACCCCATCTTTGAAACATACCCCCCCAAACAAAAACAAAAACGGAGCTTCTCCTGCCAGCTCCGGGCAGTGCGGTGTGTCAGAGTGGGAGAGAGGGTCGTGGCATGTCGTAAATACCGGATCGTACCAGGCAGGCAAAAGCTCACAGGTTGACAATTTAAGAAGCCACCAGCTTTTACAATTTGCATGATTCGAGTCCTACATCTCTCGCCTGCTAAGTAGCTGTCAGGCGTGGGTGAGCAGCTTGAGCTTCCTTTTGGGAGCGAAGTCACGGCCCTGTTTGAGGCCTACCCGTCAGCTTACAAACGAAATTTGGCTCTCAGTACCCAATTTTGCAGAGAGAAGGCCGAATTTTGAAAAGATATTTTTTAAAAAGAAGAAATAGAAACCACAAACAAATTGTCTCTAGACGAACCCTTCTCCATTCCTGAGCAGATGAGTAGGCAGTGGCCCGGAGCACGTGCTGTCCTTGGAGGCGGGCTCCGCAATTGTAGGGTTGCGGGCTCCAGCTCCCGAACCCGCCACGTCGCCTCCGCGCCCCGCGAGGCTCCCAAGGGCCCCTCCCAGGCAGGACACGCAGACCGGGTTGGGGGGGTGGCAGGGGCCAGCCTCCAACCCCTCCCTCAAGACCCTCGGGAAGGGCCGTGTTGAAAGCGCCTGCGGAGGGGACAGAGGGCTCTTTTAATTAGAAGCTTATCGGACCCGGGACTGATTAGATCGCGCTGTCCTGGGGCCTCCTGCTGGGCGCGGCGCGGAGAGCGCGGGGGCGGGGGCCCAGGGAGGAACGGTTGCCGGCAAAAAGGGGCAGCGTGTTCAAAGGCTCCTTGTACAGGCCTTCGAGGGAGAGGCTTTAAGCGTCCGAGGTAGCGCTTTTCCCACGGTTAGTCTCTGCCCGGGAAGGGAGTGCAACCTTGACCGCGCGGAGAGGCGAGACACGCTCTGCACCTCCCTCCCCCGCGCGCGGCAGCGGAGGAACCCGGGAACCGCCTGGCCGAGCCTGGCCTCCCAAAAGCTGGGGGGTAGAGTGGACAGCAGGCTCAGTCAGGGAGGGGGGCATAAGGCTGAAAATGATGACTCCACTGCTGTGGCAGAATAAGGAAAAATCTGTCCCCCAACGGAATACCCTCTCCAACGTGACCCAAAGGGGGGCGCCCTTCGCCCTTGGGTAGAGCCGTCTCTATACCTGACCCTAGGGTGGCCTGGTGATGCCAAGGCCGCCTCCTGCCCTACGACTCAGAGCGCCCTCGGGGCTGGGGGAATCAGAGGCTGACTGACAAGCAATCTTTTTTTTCCCCCTCCTTAAATCCCGCATTAAGTCTGGGGCTACCCGAGTCCTCACCCCACTTCTGCCCTGACAAACCATCTAACCCTCACACACACACTACAGTCTGTTCAGTGCCCATCCAACATGTCAAAGGAAATCTGTCTCAACAGAGGGGCCAAGATCCCTGGAAAAGGAGGTAGAAATAGCCTAGTATGGTCTGGGTTTGAGTCCCAGCTGTGCCACAGAGGGACCTGTTGCACACCTAATCTCTTAGAGCCTAGATTTTCTCATCCAGAAATAAGGAAGTCCTCTAATGTCAGACTCCATAACTCCAGTGTGCAAGGATGCACACTGCCTTAATGCTCAATCTCCAGTGCCTTGCACAGAGTAGATGCTCAACAAATGCTGAATTAATGTTTAGAAGATTAAGACACCACCTATATTGTTTAAGAAATGGGAAAGGGAGGGAGATGGCATGATGCCTGGGGGTGCCAACTGTCCTCTCCTGTGGGCCAGGGTTAGGCTGCTTTGCCTAGGGACAGGGATTCAGAGTCTTGATTCCTCTCTGCTGCAGCTTGTCCTGGGTCTGCTGATGGCCATTCTCATACTCTGGGGAAGGAGCTGATGCCCTTGCTTCTCCCAACACAAGCCTCCTGCCAGACCTTGCATTCCTGGGGGAGCCACAGGAACCCCAGAAATCAAGAGAACCAATCCAGAATTTCCAGGCCTCAGGGTTGCCAAGGCCAGGGCTGAGGCTGGAGCAGCTTCTGACATCTCACCCCAGCTCCCAGCTTCCCAGTAAGTCCCAACAGCCAGGCAAGCATGACCCACTCACATTTTCAATGCAAGAAAAACCTAAACCCACAGACGGGAACCGCCTTACAGGTTGTGGCATGCATCTGGGGCCGACTCTCCACCAGGCTTTTCCCCAGGATAGGGAAGAGAACTCCTTCACCTGCTAGTCCTGGTCCCCAACTCCCAAGCCTTTTATCTCTTTGGCAAGCCCCTTCATGCTGAACTGAGGGGATCCCAGGCACCAGACCTGCCTATAGAAGAGACCCAAACAGAGTGAAATCCCCACAGAACCTAGATGGTCTCAAATAAATGATAACAGCACAGTAGTATTTTGAGCCCCAGAAAACCAAATGGCTTCTCAGGCCCCTCCAAAGAGCACACATCCACACACAGATTCACTCACATCACACACCTGCCTGCCAGTCTTGCCCTTTCTAGTCCAGTCAATTTTAGGTTGGTCTGCTGCCTTCTGAATTTAGAGCCCCAAGCCAGGGGAAAGTTGGGCTTCTGCTCCAGTGGTATAGAACTTCAGGTGATGCTGAACCCCCAAGTTGCTCATCTCAGCTCTCCTCTTACAGATGGAGAAACTGATAACTGGAGATTTGTAAAAGGTAACAACAGCCTGCTAATTAGAGGTGACACTATCAGAGAACGCAAGCCTCTGATTAGACACTGAGTTGTTCCAACATCCCTTGAGTGGGAAACACTAACTTCCATTTAGGAAACACCTAGAATGGAGGGACCCGGGGTGCTGCTTGAGGTTCCTCCACAGAACACGGATCTTGGATTCCTTAAACGAAGAGGGGAGGGTGGTTTCAATTTCACCGGGGCTTCTGGTGAGCCAGGTGCCCCAGGCTGGTTTCAGCTAGGGACCACCTGAAGATACTCGTTTAGAAGGTGTTGGCATCGACCATGGACCAGCAGCATTGAGCCCTTCTGCGCCGTGGGAGCCCTGGCACCTCCTGCAAACGGTACACGCTCTGCTTCTCCCGCCCCAGCATCCCAGAAACATCCCAGTCCCTTAGGCCCGCACGAAATTTTGCTCCAGCAAAAGCATCCGGCATTGCGTTTGTAAGGCGTTTCCTAAAATATTGAATCAACCCGAATTGGTTTAAATTCTCAAAGAGCACAGAAGTCCATTTAGAGGAAAACTGGAAAACAAACTACAGGGGCCTGGCACGATTGGTTCGGCTCTAGTCCCTGAGAAAGGTAAGTGGGTGTGCGGGCGCCAGAGCGGGAGGAGGACACTCCTGGCTGTGTCCCTCGATGTACACTGACTGAAGTCGGCAAACGAACTGTTCTTGTTCTAACCCGAACCGGCCAAAAACCTTTCCTCAGCGGAGCCCCGAGTTTAACAAGAAGGCACCAAGGCGCGCTGAAGGCAGGCCGATGCTTGGGCCTCGTTCCACGGCCTCTCGTAGGACCCGGTCCCACAGGGCTTGGAATGGGATGAACCGAGTTCTCCTCCAGCCCTGGAGCCCTCGCGGACGCCGCCTGAGCTGGAACCCAGGAGACATCCGCTATTATATATACTACCAGACGCGAAACCGACACGGTTCCAGAAAAGCCACTGTTTAGTTGCTAGCCCGTTCATTTACTCGTTCTTTGCTCCGTGATACTTCTCGGGCGTCTAACGTGTGCCGTCACCGTAGTAAAGGCTGGAGCGGCTCCTGACATTTTGGCGCAGCTCCCCCCCGGTGCTGGCCCCACAGTGTAAAAGCTAAAAAGGTCCGGTGCCTCTTAACCGTTCGGTGGGGCCTTGAGCTACAGAGCACCTTCCTGAGACAGAGCCAGACGCTGCACCGGTTCCCCCTTCCCACTCCCACGGAGACTAGCAGTCCTGGAATCTCCCGGGGTCCGAGGGGCCCCAGACGACCTCCCGGCTCAGGCGAACCAGCCGGGCTCCCGGCTCTGCAGGATGTCAGGGGCCTCTGCCGGCACGTACTCCTTCTCCCAGGCCTCCTCTCCCCTAGCCGCTGCTTCCGCTACCCGCACGGTCCTTGGGGAGGAGGGGGGGGACAGCCGGTTAAGAGCCGGGGTCAGGGAAGGGATAGGGCAGGGGAATGCCAGAGCGCGGCGGCAGCCCCGGCGCCACCCCGCGTGTAGGGGGCGCTCCCCCGGCCCGCTTACCCTGGTTGCGAATAGCCGGCTGGCTCTCGAGACAGCTGGGCAGGTAGGGCGCGTTAGGGAACATCCTGGCCTGGCCGGAGGACGCCTGGCTGGGCGGAGGAGGACCGAAGGGACCGTAGCGACAGGCTCCAGCTGTGCCGGTGAACTGGCCGGAGAAATGCACGGTGAAGGCGCTCAAGCACTGCTCCTCGTGCGGCTCCGCGCCGCCCCAGCTCGGCTCCTGTTTGATGAAGGAGTGAGGCGGCGGCGGCGGCGGCGGGGGTGGCGGCGGAGCCGGCGGCGGCGCAGGACCGCCCAGCGAACCGTAAGCCGAGGCGCCCGGGGGTGCAAAATCCAGCACGGGCGCCCACTGTGCGGCGCCGCTCACGGGCAGGGCGCAGCCACCGCCGCCACCCAGCGAGGGTACCGCCGGCAGCAGCGCATTCAGGTCCCGCACGTCAGAGCCCATTTGCTGCGGCTCAGCCCCGGACGCCCCGCGGCTCCTTCGGCCTTGCAGACGCTCGGCGCTGGACTCGGCCGCACCTAACTTGGCCCAGAGGCAGCCTGGGCCCCGGAGCCCCGGCTGCTCGGGCTGCTGAAGGCACCCAGAGCCGGAGCGGAGCGAGTGAGAAGACGCCGGCTCCGGGGCACACGTGGAAGCCGGCTCCTGCGGCAGGAGGAAGTCCAGGATCGCGGCAAGGAGGCGGCGGGGCCCCGGCTCCTGGGCTGCCGTCCCGGCTCTGGGTGGGTGGGTGAGTGAATGAGTGGGAGGGCCGGTGGGAAGGGGGGAGCGGACAGACCGTCGGGTTGCGGAGAGCCCCCGGGTGTGGGCGCTGCCTTGAACTCCTTACCCCAGCTGCCTGGCTGCCCCCAGCTTCCCAAAGCTCAAATAAGAGGGGCCGGCGGCGGGGGAGGAGGAGGAGCCAGGAGCCTCGGCCGCTCCATTCACACCGCAGCCTAAGCCCAGCCAGGCAGCGCGCGCGGCTCGGAGGGGGCGCCCTCGCCGCGGGGGTGGGGGGCGGGCCCGAGGGAGCGTACCTCTGGGAGACACCCTCCTCTCCTACCCGCCACGCGCTCTCAGCTGGCCTGCGGGACCCAGCCCACCCCCCACCTCCCCTTCTCGGCCTTCGCAAGTGTGGGCGCCTCTGGGCCCTGGCGAGTCTCTCCAGGTGAGCAGTGAATGTCCCCACATCCCTGTGTGATGGGGGGCGGATGGGGTTGTTAAGCTGAGAGAGCGGGTTCAAGGGAGGGGCAGGTGAGCTCCACGGGGGCGGGAACTTCAGGAAAGCACTGAAAACTTTCCCGGGCTTCAAAGAGAATTCCTTTGCTCTGAGCCCGAAAGTCCGGCTCTTGCTTCTAGAGCCGCCTGGCAGGACTGGTGGCCGTAATCTCAGGTTCACTGGGATGGGGGTGACACTTTATGGGTTCCAGAGGCCAGACTCAAGGTGAACGTGGGTGACCTGGGGGGGGGCGCGGTGCATCATCTGTGATAAACGGCGTATTTCGATCGTCTGGTAGTTGGTTACTTGATGAGGTTTGTGCCCAGACGAGGGCAGTTGTCGCCTGCCTAAAAATTGGTGTCAGCGGCACTTAATCTCCTTTTCTAGCGAGAGATATTTAACTCTTCTTCGGTGAAGCCGGGAAAACAGCGGCTAGTTTGGGAGGGAAGGAAACCTTTAGGGGAACACCCAGAGCCTGCACACATTCCGACCGGAGAATCCTGGAGCCCAGGTTGGAGGGTGAGAGGTGGGGAGGATTCGAAGTCCAAGCCCCTGGGGAGAGGTTTGGCTCCTGCAGCCAATGCCGCCGAGCTCGGCCTCCTCTCACGGTCGAGAATACCGTTCTGGATAAGCAGTGACTGATAAGGGGACGCAAACCAGTTAGGAGGACCACGAAGGAAAGCCCTCGGTGGCCCACGGTCCAGGGGAGTGTTCGCTCCATTGGGAGCTCGGAGCGACGGGCTTCGAAACATCAGACTCCTCTCTCTACCTAGTCACTCTATGGGAGCCCCGCGCCTCAGGGCAGGTGTTTGAGGTTTTGTTTTGGTTCTTCCTGAGTAGTCAGGATTTAGGGCGATGCGGATCCTAGGCAAGGAGAAGCGCTGGGAACCCGGGTTCGAGTGCGTTTCGAGGCGCGTGGAAACGCCCAGGAGAGCCAGGGGGCAGCGGCGACGGCGCAGCCTGGACCGGCCAAGAGCGCGGACGGGCAGCGGCCAGTGGCCGCCAGGCCTCTTAGTCCAGGCTGGCCGCGGAAGGGCCCGCAGCTCTCCGCCAAGCCCTATGCAAAGCGACAACCATGGTAGTTGCAGTTTTACAAAGAAACGGAACGTTTGAAAAGCCTTGGCATGCTCTTCATTTTCTTGCGCTTTGGTTTTAGTTCATTTGCACTGAGTAAATGAAGTAGACCCGAGTTCCGGCTGCGAACCCGAGGCGTTGGCGGGCTCAGAACCTACACGCCAAACAAAATTCCCTCCTCTTGGGGTCGCTCGTCCTAGAGGCGCAGGAGACCGTGAGGGCAAAGGTCCGGAACACGAGCTACCCGCTCGTTCCCCTGGCCACCTACGAGGTCCTGCACCCCTCTTTGCGCTACTTTGGTGCTTGGGTGAGCTTGTCTCCACTTAGAAGCTTTATCTTTTTTTTAAAGAAGTGAAAAGGTTCTGGAGGCCAGCTTCTTCTCCCCCGACACTCTGTGAGCTGCCCACTACGCTCCCACAAGTGCAGTCTGGAAACCGGGGGCTGGGCTGGAGAGCTGGGCAGGGGCATGCGCGTTTGGTCCTTTTGATGCGGAAAGGCCCCGGGAGACGAAACTTCTCAGGCCAAGTTGCCCCTAGAACGCCGCAGACCCCTGTCTCATACCCACCACTTTTACTTCGACGTCGAAGTAGTTTTTCTTAACTAGGATTCACTCAAGCGCCACGAGGGATGGAGAGCCCTTTATGAAAAGTCAGGGATTTGTATTTGCCAACGAAAAGGTCGAGATTGTTTCTCTTTTATCCTCCTTTGCAAAGTTTTTTTTGTTGGGGGGGTCTTTGGAGGGAGGTGGCTTGAACGTGAGCTTTTGTGGTTTTGAATCCCAGATAGGGCAGAGGTGCTTAATTTTGCGCCTTTACGTTTAAAAAAAAGGTTTTGTTCAGGGGCGGGGTGGGGTGGAGTGAGAGGAAAGGGGAGCCGAGAAAATTTAGGACTCCTCTCTTCTCCGCCATTTGTTGCCTGAGAATCCTAGAGGGAGGGAAGAGCAGTAGTGCGATCCCCGCTTCAGCCCTGGGGTGCCGCCTCGCTCCGACTTCGTAGTCCGAAACGGTGGGAGGAGTTCCCTGCAACCGCGGGGCCGGGAAGTGAGTGCTGCGCGTCGGCAGCCGCTCGAAGTCGGAAAGCCGCAGCCCAGAGGTCTCCGAATGCCGCCACCCATCCCCATCCCCGAAGCCCAGGAGCGCCTGGCCCAACGCTGGGAAACCGGCACACTGAGGTCCCCCTTCTTCCCTCGGGTAACGTTCTCTGCGGGAGCTCGGCGGTTACCCAGGCAGACGCGCCCGCTACGCTGGCCTCGGCGCCCTGAGCCTGCCAGGCAGAGCGACAGAAAATCGGGCGGGGAGGAAGTCTGCCCGCCTCGGCAGGTGGGCGCTCTCCTGCCCCTCCGCAGCTCCAGGCCCAAGGAAATGAGGGCGGCGGAGACCTGGCTGCCCCTTCTCTCATTCACCCTTCCACTTGCCGTCAGCGCTGAGACTTGTGCCACAGAGGATCTGGTCTGAATCACCGTTTGGCAGAGATGGAAATTCAACTCCCCGTCTACAGAGAAGGAAACTGAGGCCCAGGCAGAGGGAGGAAAGGCAGCTGTAGAGCTCAATGGTTAAGAGGATGGAATTGGTGGTCAGAGAACGGAATCTCGGGTCCACCAGGTAACAGCTGTGTAACCCTAGAGGACTTCCATAGCCTCTCTGAGCCTCAGTTTCCTCACTAATCAGACGGGATAATGGAATACTAGCGTCCACTTCATGGGGTCGTGCGGAGTAGACCGGAGGATAGTGTTGGTTTACGCATTCAATAAACGTCACAACTGTCACTATTATTAAGGATACATAGCAAAATAGTGGCAAAGCCAAGCTGAAACCCTGGTCTCTCAACTTCTAGCTTGGGGCTTTACCCCCACTATCCTTTTGCCTCTGTAGAGATAATGGAATGGGGTGTAAAGAAAAGAGGGAGAGAGAGACGTTAAAAACCCATGTGGCTCTGATACATTGGTAAAAGGCACCCTGGTCTGGAAGGTGCTTAATTATTGAGAGATCAAAAAATCGCCGCAGAGTGGTAGAGGGTACTGACGACCTCTAACCGCCACCGCTACCCCCCTCCCCCCGCCCCTTTGACCCCGGCGCTGTCAACTGCATCTGACCAAGGACCGAGCCCGGCCCTGCAGCCGCCGCCCCAGGGAGCTGGGCGTACTCCTGGGCTGCGCTCCGGGCGTCACCCCGCGGCTGCCGACAACTGAATAAACACTCCGAAGCGCTGCGATCTGTCAAGGGCTGGGGCCGAAGACGCAGAAGAGGAGTGGCTCCACCGCCAGACGCCCAGGAGGAAGGGGCGCTCGATTAGCACCTCGCGCAGGGGCTAGAGCCCGGGGCTCCACGCGCAGGACCAGCAGCCTAATCGGGGCTCCTCCCCTCCCTCCCCATTCCGACTCTTGGGTTTCTGCTTACCTGACCTCTGGACAGGGGCTTAGGCCGGTTTCCAGGCCCGTACTGGCAGTAGAAACCGCAGCTTCATTTCTTTAAATTAAAAAAAAAAAGTACGGGAGGGACTTTTGTTAGAGCGTACCCCCGTTTTGTCCCCGCACTCTGGGTTCCTCTGCTCATTTGAAAAATAACTCGATCTTTTTGAACAACCTCTCGTCTACAGTACAAACTCCGTTCTCTGACCCAGTTTGGGGGTTCAGGACCGGCGAGCACCGCCGCCTGGGCGCTGCAAAATTTTCCCTCTGCCCCAGCTTGCAGTGCCTGGAACCGCCAGAGTTTACCCGTTTGTTCTGATGCCACCTCGAGACGGTCCCCAAGCTCCCAGAGAGTCCCCGTTGAAAGAATTCCGCAGCGCTGCCTCTATTATTATACCGTAAATCTTTTTAAATTCTGGAACTAATTATATAGAGGATATGTCTCAATTTGTTCTGCATTAATGCCACAGTGGGGATGGAGGCCGGGCCGCGGCCGGAGCAGATACGTAGGCCCATGAAATTGATGAACTGAGAGTTGCTCCCAGTCCTAAGCGCACCATCTGGAATTCCAGTCTGAGGTTACAATTAGAACCCCTGACCCCAGATTCAACTTTGCAAACAACAGGGGAAAAAATGGGGAAAAGAAAAAAACCAAGAAAAAAAAAATTTATATTCTGCACCTGTAAAAAAAAAAAAAAAATCCCTACACAATCTTAAAATCTTTCCATCTTAGAAGATTCTTTCCAAGTATTCTTTTGTGTTTCTTTAACCTATAAAAGATAATGGAATATATTTTATAGACTGGATTTTATCTTACCCCTTTCCCTCTCCCGACTGCACTCAGTTTAATAGTTGTCAGTTTTTTCTCAGTGTTTTTTCTTAAGCATTGGATTATAATTATATGGGACCAAAATATTCCTTAGTAAATTAGCTTGCTAAATATTCTGTCATTTTGTGATTCTGCTTTTGAGAAACCGCTTA